GCACAGGAGAGACATCCCTATTCCAAAAGGGATAAATAGGAAATAAGGAAAGGGTAATGGGTCCCAAGCAAGTCTAAAACCTAGAGGTGAGTTCTATTAAGGCTTGAGGTGACTGTCTTTGGTTTGATGCTCATCCTGTAGGACCATTGAGCAGAGGTCTTGCCTCTGAGCCTTTGTTGTACTGGGGTTGTGCCCCACAGATGGCCAGTTAGAAGTCTCACTCCCAAGGCACGGCAGGGTAGCCTTGGCCCAGAGCTCTGCATGATGGTTCCAGTCCCAAGGCCTTTGTCAGAGGCCATCTGGTCTGTTGAAACCAACACAGTGGTTCTGATGATCTCTGAATCACCTTTCGGTCATTTTTCCTTTTCGTTAAAGAATAGCACATGTTCTAGCTGAATAGCACTATCATCCAGTCCTATTAATTTCATAAAGCCCCACAGCCTTTCTTCATTTTGTCTCACCTCCATTCTTTTCAGTTCAAACTGGCAGTACTTCTGCTTATATAATCCCACAAACCCATTATCAAGAGATAGTCCAGCCATACCCATAGTGTTCTCTTTAATGCATGTGTTCTAATTTTTTGTAATATGGATAGGTGGAGAATTTTTCAAATCTCCAAATTCGGGTTCCTTTTTGCTTAACAATTCCTTCCTCAATTCATTTCTCTCTTGTATTTTAGTATGAGCAGTCAGGAGGAACCATGACACTCCTTCAAAACTTTGCTTAGAAATCTTTTCAGCTAATCCCAGACTTCAAGATATACTACAAAGTTGTAGTAATCAAAACAATGTGGTACTAGCACAAAAACAGACACATAGATCAATGAAACAGAAGAGAGAGCTCAGAAATAAACCCACAATTATATAGCCAATTAATCTATGATAAAGGAGGTAAGAATATACCATGGGGAAAAGACAGTCTCTTCCATAAATGGTGTTGGGAAAACTTGAGACCTACATGTACAAAAATGAAACTGGACCACTTCCTCACACCATACACAAAAATAAACTCAAAATGGATCAAAGACCTACATGTGAGACATGAAACTATAAAAATCTTAGAAGGAAACATGGGCAGTAATTTCTTTGACATTGACCTCAGCAACATTCTTCTAGATGTCTCCTCAGGCAAGAGAAAGCAAAACAAAAATTAACTATTGAGACTACACCAAAATAAAAAGCTTTTATATGGCAAAGAAAACCATCAACAAAACAAAAAGGCTACCTACCGAATAAAGATATTTGTAAATGATATATCTGATAAAGGGTTATTATCCAAAATGTATAAAGAACATATATAACACAACACCAAAAAAATCCCAAATAATCCATTTAAAATGGGCAGAGGACATGAATAGACATTTTTTCCAGAGAACATCAGATGGCCAACAGGGAAATGCAAATCAAAACCACGATGAGATATCACCACTTGACACCTGTCAGAATGCCTAAAACCAAAAAGACAAGAAATAACAAGTGTTGGCAAGGACGTGGGGAAAAGGGACACTCTTGCACTGTTGGTGGGAATGCAAACTGCTACAGCCACTGTGGAAAACAGTATGAAGATTCCTCAAAAATTAAAAAATGGAAATACCATTTGATCCAGTAACTCCACACTAGGTATTTACCCAAAGAAAATGTAAACACCAATTCAAAAAGATATATGCACCCCTATGTTTATTGCAGCATTCTTTACAATAGCCAAAATATGGAAGCAACCCAGGTGTCCATCAATAGATGAATGGATAAAGAAAAATGGTATCCATAAACAATGGAATATTATTCAGCCATAAAAAAGAATGAGATCTTGCCATTTGCAACAAAATGGCTGGATCTAGAGGTTATTATGCTAACTGAAATAAGTCAGAGAAAGACAAATACCATATGACTTCAGTAAAAAGCAAAACAAATGAATAAACAAACAAACAAAAAGCAGAAATGCAGCCATAAATACAGAAAACAAACTGATGGTTGCCAGAGGGGAGAGGGGTGGGTGATTGGCAAAATGAATGAAGGGGAGTGGGAGTACAGGCTCCCAATTATGGAATGAATAAGTCATGAGGGTGAAAGGCACAGCATAGGGACTATAGTCAATAATATTGTAATTGCGTTTTATGCCGACAGAGGGTAGCTACATTGGTGGAGAGCACTGCGTAACATATGGACTTGTCAAATCACTATGCTGTACACCTGACACTAACATAACATTGTATATCAAAATTTTATTTTGAAGAAAAATAAAATATATAAAAAATCTTTTAAACTAAATATCTAATTTCATAACTCACAAATTCTACTTTCCACAAAACACTAGAATACAAACAATTCAGCCAAGTTCTTTGCCATTTTATAACAAGGACCTCTTTTCCTCCAGTTTCCTATGACATGTGCCTCATTTCCATCTGAGACTTCACCAATGGCCTTTAATGTCCGTATTCCTACCAATATTCTATTCATGATTCTTTAGGTCTTTTTTAAGGAGATGGAGCTCTCTCTTCAGCGCTCCTCTTCTTTCTGAGCCCTTACCAGAATCTCTGTTAATATCCATATGTCTGGCATGCACCTCCAAACTCCTTTAGCCTCTATCCATTATCTAGTTCCAAAGGCACTTCACAGGTTTAGGTATTTGGTATAGCAGTACTTATCAAAATCTGTTTTAGTTAGCTCAGGCTGCCATAATAAAATGCTGTAGACTGAGTGGCTTAAACAATAGAAATTTATTTTTCGTAGTTCTAGAGGTTGGGAAGTCCACATCAAAGTGCCAGCTAATTTGGCTCCTGGGGAGAGCCCTCTTTCTGGGTTACAGAGAGACACTTTTTCATTGCTCTCACTTGGTCTCTTAGTGTATGCACCTGGGATGGGGGTGGGGTGGGGAAGAAGGTGGGGGGAAGAGAGGAGAATCTTTCTCTTCTTCTAACTTCACTAATCTCATTATAAGAGCCACACCCTCATGATTTAACCTAGCCTAACCCCAAGGCTCCATTTTTAAACACCCAACGCATTGGGTATTAGGATTTCAGTATATGAATTTTAAGGGACATATTCAGTCCACAACACTTTATAATCGTTTTTTTCCCCCTGTAAGGTTGGTAGTTATGTCTTTTGGTTGGTGATTTTAGTAATTTTAGTCTTCTCTCATTTTTTGCTTGATTAGGATAGCTAAAGATTTGTCAATTTTATTAATCTTTTCAGTGAAGTGACTTTTGATTTTGTTGATTTTTCTCTATTGTTTCTCTATTCTCTCTTTCATTTATTTCCCTCCTTCTGCTTGCTTTGCATTTAGTTTGCTCTTATTTTTCTCATTCCTTAAGGTGGAATGTTAGGTTATTGATTTGAGATTTTTTTCTTCTTTTCTAATATGGGCAATTACAGCTATAAAGTTCCTTCTAGGCACTATTTTCATGGTATCCCTAAGATTTGGTATATTGTGTTTTCATATTCATTCATCTCAAGTATTTTCTAATTTTCTTTGTGATTTCTTTTTTGACCCTGTGGTTATTTATGATTGTGTTTAATTTCCATTTGTAAATTTGTCTCATTTCCTTCCATTGTTAATTCCTAATTTCATTCACTGTGGTTGGAGAGCATACTGCACATGATTTCAGTCTTTTGAAATTTATTGACACTTGTTTTATGACCTAACGTATGTTCTATCTTGGTAAATGTTTCACACGTACTTGAGAAGAAGTGTACTCTGTAGTTGTTGAATGGAGGGTTCTATAGGTCCTTCTTAGTTGAATTATAGTGTTGTTCAAGTTTTCTATCTGCTTGATGACTTTTTGTCTAGTTCTATCATTATGGAAAGTGAGATATTGAAATCTCCAACTATTATTGTTGAATTTACCATTTTCCCTTCAATTTTGATACTTTTTGCTTGATGAATTTGGTATATATATATATGTTTATAGTTATATCTTCTTGATGAATTAACTCTATTATTATCAAATGTCCTTCTTCATCTCTAGTAATAAATTCTGTCCTAAGATCTACTTTGTCTGATATTAGAGGAGTCATTCTATGTCTCTTCTGGTTATTGTTTACCTATTATATCTTTTTCCATACTTTTACTCTCGACTTCTTTGTACCTTTGACTATAAAGTGTGTCTCTTATAGACAGCATATAGTTAGGTTTGGAGTTTTTTGTTTTACTTTGTTTTGTTTTAATCTATCCTGCAGATTTCTGCCCTTCAATTCAATCTCTTTCCATATAATGAAATTACTGATAAGGTCATGTTTACATTTGCCATTTTTCTATTTGTTTTCTACATGTCTTTTTTTTTTGATACTTTCTCCATTACTACTTTTGTTTTAAAAGGATATTTTCTGGTGATTAACATAACAATAAAAAAATTAAAAAAAAAGGATATTTTCTAGTGAACCATTTTAATATCCTTATTATTTCTCTCAGTATATATTTTTAAAGATTTATTTATGTTTTTAGAGGGGGAGGGACAGAGGGAGAGAATCTTCAAGCAGACCCCCCACTGAGCATGGAGCCCAACTCAGGGCTCGATCTCACCACCCATGGGATCATGACCTGACCCAAAACCAAGAGTCAGCTCTTTAACTGACTGAGCTACCCAGGCGCCCCTCTTATAAATTTTTTGAGTCGTTCTCTTAGTGTTTGCTATGAGGGTTCAATTAACACCTTTGTTCCCATAACAATCTAGTTCAGATTAATATCAATTTAATTGTAATAATATGCAAAAAAGGGCGCCTGGGTGGCTCAGTTGGTTAAGTGACTGCCTTTGGCTCAAGTCATGCTCCTGGAGTCCCGGGATCGAGTCCCGCGTCGGGCTTCCTGCTCGGCAGGGAGTCTGCTTCTCCCTCTGACCCTCTTCCCTCTCGTGCTTTCTATCTCTCATTCTCTCTCTCTCTCAAATTAAAAAAAAAAAAAATATGCAAAAAAACCTTTGTTCCTCTATGACTCCTCTCCCCTGATTTGTGCTGTTATTATCATGTAAATTACATCTTTATAGATTGCATGCCCATCAACACAGAAAATATAAAGAATGCTTTACGTTTATAAGTTATTCTTCCACAGGGGCCGTGCTAATCTTTTTTGTATTGTTCCAGTTTTAGTATATATGCTGCCAAATTGAGCACAACATGACCTAATATTGACATTAAAAACTACTCTAGCTTCAGTGAAAAAGGAATTAAAGAGGAGGCCAGTCTGGGGGTGAGAAGACTAGATAGAAATGCTGAAATATATCAGGTAAAAGAGGATAGTGGTCAGACAGAGTTCAGTATTAGACTACGGGAGAAGAGATGTAGACAACACACTTGAAAGATATTAAGAAGATAATATTAACTAGCCTTGGCAGCTGGATGTGTAGTTGAGCAAAAGGAAAGAGTCAAAATAACTAATTCTCTATCATGCAACTGAGAGAATTACGGTACTATTCACAGAGAAAGATAACATTGAAATAGAAGCTTTGGGAAAAAATACAATGAGATCAATTTTACACTTTTTAAATTTATGATGCTTGTAGAATATTTAAATGAAAATAGGAGATGTTCAGTAAAGATGGGATATTTGGGTTTGAAACTTAAGTGAGCAATATGAGCTGTGAATAAAGATTTGAGAGTGATTAATATGTAGATAGTAATGAAAGTCTTGAGAGTTTATTAGAATATCTGCTAAGAATGTATGAAGTCATAATAGAAGAGGACCAAGGATGGAATCTTAAGGAAGAGTAATATTTTGAGTTTGAGGAAATGAGGATGATTCATCACAAGAAAGTGAGAATAACTCTAGAAGTATCAAGAAAACCAGAAGAGTGTGTTGTCATGGAAGTTGAAAGAATAGAATATTTTAAGAATTGAGACGTCACATAAAATAAGGAATGTATTGTTTTCATTGGATTTAGCAATAAGGAAAACCATTAAATACAGCAGTATATCAAAGATAGCTGCAGATTCTTTGCTATTCCTCTCATCAAGAAATAAAATTGATTTCCCTCCTCTTGGATCCCTCCTCTTGAAGCCCTATTGGGCTTGTACTGACCAATAAAATGTGGCAGAAGTTGGATTGTTTAATTTCTGAGACTGGACAGCTTCTACTTTCACAAACTTAGAACATTTCCTCTTAAAACTCAGCTTTCATGCTGTGGGAAGCCCACATATGGAGGAGCCATGAGAAGAAGGACTCACTTCCAGCTGAGCTCCCAACCAAGGGTCAACCCCACATGCGACCAATGTGAATGAGCCTTCGTGGAGGTTCTAGTCCAGTCAAGCCTCCAGATGACCACAGCTCCAGCCAATGCCATGCAGAAAAAAAGTATCCATTCAAGCCTAGTGAACCCACAGCATCATGAAAGTTACTGAATGGTGGCTGCTGTTTTAAATGACCATGTCTGGGGGGGGCAGCTTGTTACTTAGCAATCGATAACCTATTTTATTACTATTTTGTAACATTTATAAGAGCCAATGTCCTGTTGAGGTACTGCAGGTGTAAATTGCCATGGGTTGAAGAGTGACTTGAAGGATAGGAACTGAAGACAGCTATTTTAGTAGATGATTATGAAAGAGAAAAGCTATTTAGAGTGGTATATATAAGAAAGTCTGAATTTGATAAAGGTATTGTTAGCTTTTAATATAAGAAATTTATTTATTTTTTATTTTTTATTTTTTTTAAAGATTTTATTTATCCATTCATGGAAGAGAGAGAGAGAGGCAGAGGGAGAAGCAGGCTCCCAAGGAGCAGGGAGCCCGACGCGGGACTCGATCCCAGGACCCTGGGATCATGACCTGAGCCAAAGGCAGATGCTTAACGACTGAGCCACCCAGGCGCCCAAGAAATTTATTTTTTATTTTTTGTTTTATTTTTGTGAGAGAGAGAGAGTGCATGTGCATGCACGCACACATGTGAGTCGGGTGGGGAGGGGAGAGGGAGAGAGAGAGGATCTCCAGGAGACTCCCTGCTGAGTGCAGAGCCTGATGCAGGGCTTGATCTCACTGTCCTGAGATCATGGCCTGAGCCAAAATCAAGAGCCTGACACTTAACCCTACTGAGCCACCCAGGTGCCCCTTTAATGTGAAAAACTTAAATGGTATTTAAGAAGGTGCATCCCTGTGCCACAGCAGCAATATTAATATACATATAAGACAAAAGAAAATACTTATAACTATGGTTCCCGAGTGACACCGTAAGAAAACATTGACGATCCAGAAGAGAGATGGGTTAACATTGAAGATCCAAAAGAGAGATGGGTTAACTGATGGAGAAAGGTTCTTGAGGAGATGAGAGAAAATGTTATCTTTTTCAGACTCCCCCAGAAAGGATCTTATTAGTCTCCTTAGACATGATCCATTATAGAGTCCCTAATATGTGGACTCTCCTATCCTGACTCCTTGGCATTCACTGTTTGCATAGCTGCTTTTAGCTCAAGCACTAATTGTTTTCTAATCATCCATTGTTAGTGTCTTAGGTTGTATTAGGATATTATGTTTTGGGCCACAAGTAACAGAACATATATTTCAAAGTGGCTGAAATATAAATCTGAAGTTTGAGGGTTGGTTAATTCAGCAGCTCAACAGCATCATCAAGGTCTCAGATTCTTTCCAACATTTTGCTCTGTCATCCTCACACTTTTGTCTCATTCTCTTAGGTTGGCTCCTGTAATTGTCTCAAGATGACTGCTGCAGTTTCAGGGGTTATATTCAGAAAGTAATGTCATGGGACAGAAATAGGAGGTTTCTCCTTGCATGTTCCTTTCCCGTAAGTCACATAGCAGATTTCTCTTCTAATGGTTAGAATCTCATAATATGCCCAATCAATTGCAAGAGTGATTTTAGGTAGGCTATTTATACTTTCTGAGCTTTAGTTTTCACAGCTGTAAAATGGGTAGCCTAGTACCTATCTTAAAATTATTGTAAGGAATAAAAGAGAATATTCTACTAAGTGCATAGCACATTGCTTGGCTCACAGAGCCTCTTTTCTTCTATTCCACCCTCCATACTGTGTTTAGAGTTTATTTTCTAAGAAGCAAACTTGAGATTCTCTTCCCATTTAAAAGACCATAAGAAACTTGATTTGTCTTCTGGTGGTGCTGGGGTCTACTTTTCCGAAAGCCCTCAGAAGAAAGAAAAAATTAATTGAGTGTGGATTAGAAAGGAAAATGGCTAGTGGGCAAATAATAGTATCTGCCACACAAGACTACCAATGTACAAGAAACTGTTCTGGTTGCTTTGACTTGGGGAGGGGGTGGGTTGTGGGGAGTGTGAGAATTCCCATGTGCTGGGTAGAAACTGAGATGTCAGAATTTCCTTTTGGGGGTAAAGGGTGGGGATTCAGAGCACAGATGGAGTACAGGTTCTGATATATGTGTTTGGGTGATAAAGTGGGTGAACATGCAGCATGATTTATTCTTATCCCAACTCTATCCCTCATAGCTTGGCCCTGGGCTCGACCACAGCCCTGCATCCGAGCCAGAATAATAAATCATGAAGTTCCTTAGGCTCCAAAGAAGGTGCTAACATGAATACTGAATAGTATTCGTGTTATCATGTTACTAAGTAAAAAAAAAACAACAACAACAATGCATTCTTACATGCAATGTGCTTTCTCTAGAAACAATTAGATTTCCCATCTAGACTCTCCTTTTGCTTATCTCAATAGACACAGTGCCATCTACTGAAAATAAAGCACCAATAGCCATGATACCCCAAGGGATTCCCAGGAGAGCCCCCCTGTCTGTGGGCTCCCTGTCTCACCCACCTCCCAGATGGACTGGAGGGAGTAGGCGGAATCCACAGGCTGTTCTCCTGTCACAAACTGTAATGCATCTGTTCCCTGGTGCTTTCTGTGAGCAGCAAGAGTAAGACGTTCCTGTAGGGACCTAAGGAGCCCGGCCAGAGACTTAAAGTGTCTGTGAAAGCTCTTTTAGGCTACCCTCTTGCCTTCATTTGACCAGGTACAAAATTAAGCTATCCTATAGAGATGAGGCATGCTTTTCTAGTAAAGCATAACAAGGATTACTGACATGTTTTCCTTTGCGTAATTATGGTAGGTTTCTTTCCATGTAATAGTGTAGCCATGTATTAAAGTCTTTTTATTTTTCAGTGAAATTTGTAGTGGGTAGAATAGATAAGAGATTGAGAACAGAATCCTGGAACATTATCAGGACTGCTCTTTGGGGTTTGAGGATAACCTAGGTTGCTATGAAAATTCAGCTATGCCAAATTCCACATTCTAGTTCATTGTGTTCTCTCCAGATTGCAGTCTCTCTTGGTTTCATAAATGGAGAAATGGAGAAACAAAAGGAAGATTGTTGCTTACATTTAGCCACCCCAGTCAGCAATAAAATAGAAAATGGAAGCTCTTTAAAATGCACAGCCTTCTGTAGGCCGCGCTCAATTCTTTTGTCCCCTCTGCCCCTCACTCTCTGCTTGTAGCCCTTCAACGACCATCTATAATTTAAAGCACTGGTTTGAATGGATTCTGATTTGGCTTTTGGTAGTCAGAGCTGGCATTCCTTCCATTTGCCCCTCTAAATCTGGCCCCATTTCCTCTACTTCACTCGCTGCTCATTCTTTCTGCTTTCTTCTTATTAGATTTTCCAAAGCAAAACTTCCCACAGTTAAGTTTGTAGTCTGGTAATTTATCATGAATATTCTTAAAATTGCCTCATTAAAAGGGGCATTTGAAGCTGAAACTTAAGTGTCTGTTACCATGGTAACCAACAACAACTCTTTAGAACTGCCTGCCTAAGCCAGAGAGGTAAGGGTTGCTGTTGGCAGAAGATTGAAGGTAGGCAACTAAAGACTCGTGGGCAGGAAAGACAGAAAAGGGAGGAAAAGGCCTGTAAGACCCTGATGTGGCATTCTCAGCCCCAAGTTGGATACCCTTCTATGCAACGAGACAAATTAAGTTGTAACTACACTCCCAAATTCTTGACGTCATACACTTCAGGAAATTTGGGGCCTGGAAGTCCTTTTCACCATCAGGTTTCTGAGGGGAGTTTAGATTCAAACTTTACAACCTGAAACTTACATAATCACACGTTACCTAGTCTTGAGCCAGTCATTTACTTCTCTGTGCCTCAAGTTATCATTTCTTTTAAAAAAAATGGGCAAAACACTCTCTGTAACCAGGTTACATG